CCTTGAGAAAGGACCATTCCTTCTGATACATCACAAGAGCTGCCATGCATGGTCTTCACAGCGTACAAGGATGTATGATGAAAGCAGATGTTAAACATCACTAGATCTGCAAACCCACCAAAGTTCTATTCTATTTCAATTGTAACAGCAAGTCACATTCCCCAGATAAAATGAAACTTAGGATTTGCAAGGCCAAAAGCTGTCCAACTGAGATGAGCAGGTTCATGGCGTGCTGAGTTAAGAACTGGCTGGACAGTAGAGCTCACAGGGTTGTACTGAATGGGGCTACATCTGGCTGGTGACTGGTCACCAGCAGTGTTCCTCTGGGTTCAATCCTAGGGCCAGTGCTGGTCAATATTTTGATCAATCATCTGCATGCAGGGGTTGAATGCACCATTAGCAACTTCACTGACAATACCAAACTGGGAGGTGCTGTTGACTCTCTTGAGGGACAAGAGGCTTTGCAGAGGGATCTAGATAGACTGGAGCATTGGGCAATCACCAACGGCATGAAATGGAACAAATCCAAGTGCCGGATTCTCCACCTAGGACGGAGTAATGCCAGGCACAAGTATAAACTGGGAGAGGAGTTGCTGGAGAGCAGCCCTGCAGAAAAGGACCTGGGGGTGCTGGTCAGCAGAAGGCTCAATAGGAGGCTCATCAGGACAGGTTCAGACTTGACATCAGGAAACTTTTCTTTACCAAGAGGGCGGTCAAACCCTGGAACAGGCTTCCTAGAGAGGTGGTCAACGCCCCAAGCCTGTCAGTGTTTAAGAGGCATTTGGACAATGCCCTTAATAATATGCTTTAACATTGGGTCAGCCCTGAAGTGGTCAGGCAGCTGGACTAGACGATCATTACAGGTCCTTTCCAATTGCAACAAAATAGAAATATTCTGTTCTATTAAAAAATGGGCTTTCTTTGGTATCACATAGTTTCCTCAGTGCAAAAAAAACCACCCCAAAAAACCCTTATAAAAACCCCAGAAGTCAAAATATCAAGGTGGATTTTTGTTTCAACAAGACGTGAGCCACAGCTCATTATGTGTAGTAAATTAACCCATAAAGGGGAAAATGCATTTGTAATACCTGAAAAGCAGATACCGCACTTGGAAGCGCTTTGTGTCTTCTGTAGGTAACTCTGTGGATTCCAGTGTTATGGGTATCTCACATAGCTCACTTTCTTCCCCAAGCAGTTCCACTGGCTTCTGACATATGATGAACTCATCTAATTCAAGCTGCAAAGTATGTGTTGAAGGGCCTTCATCTTTTTTTACACCTTAACAATGAAAATGCCATATTAATTGTTCAAACCATTCCATTTAGCAGTAAGAAAATTATATGACAGATTATCAATTAAATACTCCAATTACAGCTACTTAGCTAGCATTGGCTTCCTCAAACCATGAGATTTTGAAAACAGCTATGCTAGAAGATGAGAACAATCCTTCATTTAAGCCTCAACAGTCTGAATACCTAAGAGTCAAGACTTCTGAAAGAACAGGTAAACTGTTCATTATAAGGCCAGTCCAAGGCAACCTGTGCTGCAAATGGCTGGCTGTCAAAAAATATTGTCATTTGGCTGGAGAGGTTTTAAGAAGGAAAAGGCAGCTATGATAGAATGTTGTGTTATCTTAAAACTCACTTAAGTTCTGGAAAGCAAATCCTAACAGCACTCAGAAAGTAATTTGAACTTTTCTATTTAGTTTTTAGTAATAAAAACAACTGGGGGCAGGATGCCATTATCTGAGCTAAGATCCATCTTCACTCAGTGACGAACATTCCAGTTTATATTCTTCCTACCTGACTAGTCTTATATACCTTTCAATTTTTTCTAGGTGGAGTTTCCATTTCTGAAAGACCATCCTTTTCTGTTTTAAGTTTCTTCAAACACAAATGAAGCATTTTCCTAAGGTTTGTTGGTGTTCATCTGACACTTTTGGAAAGGTGGGAATTGATTACATATGGATCAACTTCTTGCAATACACAGGAACGAAACCTACTAAGTACATCTATTTCTGGGATTTCTAGGATTCTAAGGCAAGCCCCTGAATAAAGGGGGGACTGAAGGACTGAAAAAGGAGAACTTGCTGACACCTTGTTTAGGCAGGTTCTGAGCCAACTAAGAGTTACAAAAGAGCATACACATTGTCACAGAAGCATTCTTAAACGTGTAAGCCAATATGCATGGTCCATTTCAAGGTTCATGAGATGCTTCTTCCATTTGGCCTCCCACTTGTCCCTTAGAAGAGACACAGTTATTTGGGCAGTGAGACTGATAGAATAGTATTTCTGAACACAGCACACTGAACTACTACCACTTCGATTTGGCCCATGCTGGCACCCCAAAACAAGGACCTGATTCTATGTCTTTAGAGGCTGCACTATCCTGAAAGTGTCTGCAGAACATGGCATTATTTGTTTTAAGTGTGACCTCCAACTGCAGGTGGTACAACTTTTCATGCACTCGAATATTCAGCTGACAGTCCTAACATGATTGGGAAATATTTACTGAAGGGCAATGACCTTGTTTAAGCCTAATTCAAGAATAACAGGAATCAGTCAGCAGATTCTTGGAAATAAAAAAAAAAATTCTGTACTTACCCCCATCCACAGGCTTTTCTAGTGTACTAACTCTATGTGCACATTGCTCTGTCCTGTCTGCACTTTGCTGGACCACTTCCAGTTTCAGGATCAGAACATCCAGCTCTGTTGTTATTGCTATATGTCTGGCACAAAATGCAACTTCAGCAGGAATGAGGTTATCAATGTGTAAAATTAAGGAGCGTTCAAAGTCTAACACAGTCAAATTCTGGTTTATGACCAGATATTTCAAGCAGAACATGACTAGTTTATTTTTGCAGCCCACAAGAAGATCTCCATTTACAGGACAACATGAAATGCACAGTGGAGGATCCGAAAGTGGCATTTCCACAATTGACATCTGTTCTTTTAAGGTTTCACTGTATGACTCTTCCATCTTGTGACCAACCATACGAACACAAACACGAGAACTCCCTGCAGACATGCATCTCCAGTTCATATACGCTCTTAGGAAAGTTGCTTTGCTTTTTTCTTCAATTGTCACCAGATAGTCTCCTTAAAAGAAAGCAGTGGTCCTGATATATCATTAAAGAATAGAGACAGTTTTTGAGCTCTTTACCTGCTGTAGTAAATTACAAAGATCATCTTCAATTCTCGACTCCTACAAAAAATTCCCCCAAACGGTTTTCAGCAATTTTTCTCTAATGAAATCCAAAGCTCAAGTTCCTTTGCTGCGTGGAACACACTTCCCATACCATTAAAACAAACGACTTCCTCCTAAGCGAATCCGCTTTATGAGCTGCAATTGCAGACAAGGTGTTCCCACCCCCCCCCGAGAATATCCATTAACGAGAAAATGTTTTGTTCCCTGAAGACCAGGGAAAGACTCAGGAAGACCAGTGGGATCGGCTGGGGAGACCACCCGCCCCGTGCTCCGAAGCCAAAAAAAGCCCAAACAACAAAGGCAGGAGCACAGGCTGTAGCGGGGCGGAGGAAGGCGGCAGAAGCAGCAACGCGCCGGCCACGCACTCCCCAC